CCCCCCTCTCCATCCCTCCTCTCCTCTTTCCTTTTTCTCCCTTTCTTCTTTTTCTCTCTTTCTTTTTTCCTTTTCTTTTCTTTTTTTCTTTACAGAGATACGACAGCGTCGAGACGTTGCGACTGAAGTGTGGCCTTCTAGCCGATTGGATACAGGCAGCACGGCACGTAGTCGTTCACACCGGCGCCGGCATCAGCACTGCTGCGGGCATTCCGGATTTTCGGTGATTATCATTTGTAATTTTTCGCTCGAATCCCCACCCTACTTCTATCTACTTTCATCCCCTCCCACGACGCCAACACGATCGGCCGCCGCAATTCCGATCTCTGTTATATGCTCGAAAGCGCCACTGGGCCAATTCTTTTAAATTAATCGAGCGGGAATAACGTAGCCGCGAAGAAACGGCCGAAATATTTCCCTTTGATCGCGCGTCCACCATTGTTGAACGTTCACAATGCTCTCTCTCTCTCACCGTGATCTATCTCGAAACGCTGATTAATCCACGAAATTGACCAGAAACCGTCGAACTAGTCTGATTTTTGACGTGAATTGAACGTGGAAATAAAATGACGATTGATAATTTGAAGAAACACATTTTTTTTTTTTTTATTCTGCATAAAATAATACGAATTAATTTTTTCTTTCTTTTTTTTTCGATAAGTCGTAACTCATTTATTCTACACAGTATATAATATATTGTCCTGTAAATATTGCTTGTAAATCAATAATTTTCTTTCTAATCGAAATATTCAATTCTATTTTTTCATACATTTTATATATATAGACATATTTTTAATGTATATGTACATGCATTTTATATGTTGTATGTATATATATTATATTTTTTGTTTTGTGGTTTTATGATTATGCACAGATTAAAAGATAGAAGAAAATAATGATGTTATATAACTTTAAAAATAATTTACTGTTATTTATCAAATCACTTTATAATGTTTTATAATTTAATGTAAAATTATCTGGTTTGACAATTGAATATTAGTTTATCTAGATAAAATGAGAGTTGATCAGTTTGAGAAATTCATATGCAAATGTATTGGAGTGTCTGAATTCATTGGACTCCTCTAATTTGTATATACTATGTATACGTGTGTGGTTTGTTAGAGGGACAAATGGAGTATGGACATTAGAGCAGAAAGGTTTGAAGCCTACAATGAATATTTCCTTTGACGAAGCAATTCCTACAAAAACACACATGGCATTGAAAAAATTAGTAGATGCTAGTGAGTACAATTATGATACTACAAGTGCGATCAGGCACTTAGAAGAGTTTCTAATTAAAATTGTTTTTCCTCCAGAAAAAGTCAAATTTATTATAAGTCAGAACATTGATGGCTTGCATCTTCGATCTGGAGTACAGAGACAGCATCTTGCAGAATTACATGGAAATATGTTTACTGAACAGTGTGATAAATGTGGAAGGTTGGTATTCTTTCACCAAAACTTACATTTCACAATTATAAATTCATAAGGTACACTATGTTTTTTTTCATTTTTCTTTAATATTCATCTAGGCAATTCATTCGAAATTTTGCAACTAAAAGCGTTGGGAAAAAGTCCCTTGACACTGTGTGCAGATCTGAGCAAATTGGTGGTCGTCCGTGCCGTGGACGCATGCATGATACTATTCTTGATTGGGAACACAACCTGCCAGACAGTGATTTAACATTGTCCGACTTACATTCTAGGTAAAGCGACAAAAATCCGTAAAGCAACAGAAGATAATTTTTTTTATATAATGATATATGACAAAAATAAATGTCCAGGCACTGTATAAAATTTCCAAAACAAACGATGGAACGTACCTTGTAATAATTTAATTTAATGTTAAAAATTTGCTACTCTTTACGAATAGATAAAAAGAAGAGTGCCTAACAATCATTGATGTATTAAAGATTTGGATAAACGATTCGTTGATCTGAAAAATCCTTATGATATCTCAAGTTTTTTTAGATGACAATTATTTTATGACGGATTATCTTGTTCGATAATATTGTCGTGGAGAAATTTATTGAATGAAAATATATGCGTTTACAGTGTCGCAGATTTAAGTATATGTCTTGGAACAACGCTTCAGATTATCCCGAGCGGTAATTTACCTCTGTACACCAAAAAGTACGGAGGTCGACTTGTCATATGTAATCTGCAGTCTACGAAACACGTAAGATAATGTTTTTACCTTTCTAGCATTAACAAAACTTTTTCTCCAAATTCTTAACAACTAATCCGTTAATAATCTAAGGACGTATTTGTGTAAATTACTGTAGCATGACTCGTGGTCAGTATGTTATTTGTTTATGTAAGAAAATTATCGCGATTGAAAAACAAAGGATATCATTTTAGGATAAAAAGGCAGACTTAATTATTAATGGAAATGTTGACGAGATAATGATCAGCGTTATGAAAAAGCTAGGGCTAGAGATACCCGAATACGAGAGTACAATGGATCCCACGCGTAATTCTGACACAACGTCCAAGGAAATGGATTGGACGATACCGACGAGCAGAATAAAAGAAATGAACGTGTTGTACAAGAAGGTGTGCAAACCGATGAGAAGGAAACGAAAGACGTTCATGTATGAGAGAGAGAGAACTGATACGAAACGGGAGACAAAGACAAAGAAGCAGGCGTTCATGATAAAACAAGACATAAAAACAGAGGATACGATGAATACAGCAAACCAGGTTTGCAACAACGCGGTTGTCCCAGAGGATGTAAGCAGTAATGCGATGAAAATCGAGGACGAGCTGAAAGACATGGAACCGTTCGATTTCACGACAAACATGACTCAACCGGATCCTGGGTTAGGAGTGAACAACATACTGTAGCATGATTTCAGTAGGTGGTGATTCAGCGACCTAATACTCCTATTAATATTCAGTCTCTGTTAAATTTATTTACGAGTGCATATAGAATGGATGTTATCTGTATGTGACGAATGCCTAAAAAAAAAAAGTGCTATTGATTTGTTTATATGAAAAAGACAAAAGAAAACAAAAAAAAAAAAAGTAAGAAAAAATAAGAATATAAGTTTATCAACCGATAAACCGCTTTTATCGTCAAATCAGAAAGCGCTGCAATACGTGTACATATATGTAGTAGGTAGTACTTTCGTAATCGCTTCCATGTTTTGTCCGCTTTTTCATTGCTAGTAGTTCCCTCTTCTTAATCAAAGAAGATCAAGAGTTTTTCCAGTGATCTAATGTGTATCATACTCTATACGTATATGCATGCACATCATGTTTTTCTCCATTATAATACATTAAACGTTAAGTACTTAAGATGATTTATTCAAAATCGTTTGTAAGATGTTGGGCAAAGATTTTTCTAGTATGACGCTAATCACGAAATGATCTTTCTTCAGATAGGATCATGGAGTGATCGTTGAAGAGCGCAGCTATAACGTGTTACGTTCAAATGCGTTTAATTCGTATATTATATATACACACACGCACATACTGTTCGTGTTTTTCATAGAAAGCGAAGAAAAGAAACATGACCAAAAATTTCTCCCAATACGGCTGTTTGTAATCCACGAAGCGATTATCGGAAGATCCGCAGATGTTTTAAATTGCACCGGAATAATAAATACTCGTTGCTACTTTGAACGTTTTAAGATTGAAATCTTTAATAGAAAGCTCCATATGAGCCTCGGTGTTGTTTGATCGAATCCAATAGTTAAGTGTCTCTTGTTAAACGCACATACGTTTGTATAATCGTGATAGAGAGCGACTAAAAGCGTTTTGTAGGTAAACGTTGACACGGATAATGGGACCGCGAATGTTACTCCCTCGACAATATGTCTCCCGGGCGAGTTGAAAAGCGGAAGTGCAAAGATTTGAGAGAGAGAGTGAGAAAGAGAGAGAGAAAGCGAACGCGCGCGAGAACGAGAGAGAGAGAGAGAAAGCGAACGCGCGCGAGAACGAGAGAGAGAGAGAGAGAAATAAAAAAAAAATAAATATGGAAATGCAAGCGAGTCTTTCTTATATCGGCATTCGACGCTATTTTATCGATAGCGTTTTATAGTAGAACGCAAATTAGTGAAATGTGTAATATTTATATGTAAATAGTGATATATATGCTTGGTTGCTCTTAATAATTTATTACTTTAATTGATATTATTTACTGGACGTTACTATTAGTGAAATATTATAGTATTCGACGGGAAATAAAATTGTGGAAAGGGCTTCGTCTACTCTTATTATTCCCTGCTGCGTTTAGAAATAATTAGAATAGAAAGAGAATGGAGCAATTCATTCATTTTGACATGGTATATTCTTATTCATAGGCAAGAATTTAAACAAGAATACAACATAATCATATACACGTGCGCTACAAATAGCATTATTCTTTTCTTTAACAAATCAGGAAAACGTAATTAAAAATATTCGAACGCATCTTGTCTTTTTTAATAAATAGATCCTTTTTGTTTCTCTTTTTTTTCTCGTTCGCATGGACTTCGCTGACACGTTGTGCTACGTCGACGTGGAGACTTGAAACAGCGTTTTCCGTTCTCGTATTGCAACTTGCTCTCTCCTCTATCGTCAATATTTTTCCTTTTCGGTTTCTTTCTTTCAAACGTTATCTAAACAACATTGAATATAACACATGTACGTTCGGTATTCAAAGTATTAACAACGCATAAAATAATCTAGCTCTTCGAATGGAATGAACGACTCGAGAGTCGCTTCATCAACAATACATAGTATAGAGAATAAATTTCGCTAAATTTAAAAAATAATAATTTTCAACAAAGAAAAATGTTTGAATATACATATATACTTCCCATGCAAGTAAAGAAACACCGTTTCAGAATAAAGTTACCGGGGTG